CTGTGACGGACGACACGTGTAAGAACAAGTTTGTGCTCTTTGATAAGGGGCATTCTGCAAACAGGTGAGAAGGCAAAGAGCTCACAGCCCAAACCGACAAATTATGAATCACATAAAAGAGGGAATGAAGAGAGAGGAGGGAGCAACAAAACACAGGCCAGACAAACTATCATGTCAGTTCCGCAGATCTTAGCTGATTCAATTACCTTTCATGATTTTTCAGCCAGTTACCAACTTTTTTTCAAAGCAGAAGAGTGAGGAAGACTAGCTTATAAAACTGATGAGCCACTCTGTGACAGACAACATAGGTATATGAGAGGAAACAAAGAACATCACAGTTATTTTGAACCAGCTGCAGCTTCTTCCCCCCTCCTTTCAGAAGCTCTTTCTAATTTACAGAAGAAAAAGGACAGCATCATATCTAACAAAAGGAAAACACTCACTTGCCTGTAGTCATGATACCTCTATGTGGTTATTGATTTGTAATTACCAGGGTATCCAAGATTTGAAGAAGCCTCTGCTGTCCTCGAAAGTATTGTACTTTATCTCCTGTTTTTTATTATTTGACAATGCTCAAGCTAAACAGAACTTTGCCTAAACGCTGCTTGTTTTTTTCAGCCATGAGGTCTACTTAATCATGGATATAATAAAAAAAAATATAGACTTGCTGCTAAAAAAGAGCTCATGTCTACTTCCGATTACTAACTTTTTTTTTAAAGAAACAAGCCCTTCTTACTTTTTATCTCTTAGAAGACAAGTAAAAGTCTTGATTCTTTCCAATACTTCAAGGCTCTATATAAAATGTATATTATTCTGTGATTTGAAATGGTATCGAATTAATCCAGTAAGATATTCATTCAAAGCCAATAAAACCAAAGCCTTGCTTGTAATTTGATTTTAGCATGTCTGATTCAGATAAAATTAAGGGACTTGCACAGGCTAATTAAAAAACCACAAAAGAAAGCACGCACATTTAAGAAATTCTGGTTTTGGAAGCTACCACAAACCTGGCACTATGTAGATATTTTCAGTTGATATTTGTGGCATTTAAATAAGGCTCAGAGTTGGTCTGGGGTTTTTATTTTTTTAAGAAATATTCTTAGAGTCAAGACATTTTGGGAAAAAGCATCTCTGCTATATAAAACCAGTCTTCTCTGTAATATAAGTGAGATATTGCACACAGCAATTAAGCATCCTCTACATTCTCTTCTGATAAGGTCATTTAACTTACAGGTCATTTGGAAATGCAGTTTATGTGCTTAAGTCCCTGTTATTTTATTTTCCATGAGTATCATCATAATTTAGGAAAAATACAAGGTACTGTTACACGATCAAAGGGCTCCACTTTGCATTGCTGATGCGAGACCATTATCTTAGTAAACCTGAAATGACAGAGAAGTGCTGGAAAGTGGGTCTATCTTTTTAAAGCACATGTAACGTGAGGGCTTTTCAGTTCAACTGCTGTGTTTCACCAGAGATAAACAACTAAGTACTTTCTTGTTTAGCTGATTTAGTAAATTGTTGGTTGTTGTTCTGGGGTTTTTGTTGTTTTTATTTTCTTAAACAAAAGCATATTCATGTGATGAGAAGAGATTGAGAGAGAGCATAAACTGGAATTCTTGCAAACACAACATAAAAGAGAGTTAATCTAACCATCATCCTGATGCTTGCTCAGGCTGGACTATGACAATACACAGGGGACAATTACCATGGCTCAGCTGATAAGCTGTAACTCACTAAGGTGCAATAATGCAATTTCTTTCAAATATGTGCACTGAACAGGAGTGTCAGGATTAGGTCACTGAGGTTACAGAAACCCTGGCTCTCTTTGGGATGCAATAGTACCCTTTTTCTTTATGTTTATTCTTTGTTATGCAGTATTCATCTTTACAGGGAAGCTTATTCTAAAAGTACTTCAACGATCATAAGACCAATCTTTCTCTTTAATTCAATGGCAAAACTCTCTCCAATATCAAGAGTGAAATAGCTGAACCCTAGATAAGAACAATTGGTCATTCATCCGTAACTGAACTACATCTGGGGTAAAACACAGCAGCTATTTTGCAGTTAACATTACTATTGCAGACTGACCTATGGATGGAAATGCACAACTGAAAACACAAGGGAATTTTAGGTGGACGGAAAATAATCACATTGACTAAAACCTGACAAACTCCCTAGAGGCAACTCCTTTATTCATATGAAAAACGCACCAGATTGTTTACAATTGTTCAGGATCTCCATTACGTACGCTACCCAAAAGACACGTCCAACAGCTGACAGTGCTCTAAGCTCATGCTACTGAATAAATAATGCTCCTATATGCTTTTTTCACTATTTAAGTGAATAGGGAACTATAAATACAAGGGCTAGATGGTAAGAGTTTTGCGATACAGGTTCAGCCTGTATCATTACTGGCTGGGCTGTAAACTGTGATCAGATCACACACACTTGCAGCACAGGTTTAGATATGTCAGAGTTTCAAGATTTAAAGATGAGCCTGTAAATCAGAACAGGGGACTTGGAAATTACAGACAATCCCTGTCCTCATTGTTTCAAGCTGTCAGGCATCTAAGATCAATACTTTGACTTTGGCTCCCCATTTGTCAGTAAGAGATCAATACAAAGGCACACCTTGTATTTCCATAAATACTAACCTTCACTGTACCAAAACAACACACAAATTCTATAACAGTACTTTAACCACATCTGTACTACTCCGTTGTCAAGTGCATGCCAGATTTCTTTTTGGATTATTGAAGAAGAAGAAAACTTCTTTCAACTAAAGGGTTGAAACCGGTACCAATGCTCTCTTTTCATCTCAGTGGCATGGTGGGAAGCAGGAAGCCTAACATTGTCATGTTAGAACTGCCAGCAGCAAGACAGAATTTTTAGTTCTATCACAAATCAACCATTTTATTACGGTAGTGCTCAGAACTCTTGAAGTGACTTTTTACAGCCCAAAATTAAATACGCTTTTTTTAAAACTCTCGTCAACAACTTCAAAATCAGTACAATTCTGATGTTTCCCCAAATGAGTTCAGATTTTACCAAGCGATAAATTGGGTACTCAAATTAACAACTGAAGCAGTGAAACCTGGAGTATTTCATTCATTGTTTGTGTTTAACTGGACAGAAGCTGTTTCATAGGTCATTACTTAACATAAATACCCCTCTCCCAACAATGGCAAATTATTATCTTCCACCCAGTACTTCATTAACTTTTCTTTTTGTTGGATGAATGCACTTATGTTACTAATAGCAGTGAACTGTCATGTGAGATGAAGTAAAACATATCTGGAAGAACTGTACTTTATTTATCAAATGTCAGATTTCTAGGATTATTTTTTTCTTTTGCATGTGAGAGGAACATAAACATTAACTTATTTAAGTATTACGGTATTTACAGACTACTTCAGGTAATTATTTCCACAATATGAGCAATGCATTTATTTTCACATAGCTGGAATATGGTAGAACTTCTCTAAATGTTAGAAAGTGTTTCCAGTTCCACAATGGATCAGCCATTCTTTAATAACTTGCTACGAATGGCCCAATTTTTCAGAAACAGTTTTTTGCCGGCTCATATTTTATAACCTTTTCATGTTCTGTTCAAGTAATCTATGACGTAGTATATTAAACATAACACAACAGCACTGACAGTTCTGTACACGAAATCAGTGATAACTAATGAAACAAATACTCCTTTTTTTAACGTGAAACGAAAAATCTGTTGCATTTTGCTTCACAAGGCTACTACTGTATAAACTCCAGCAGAAGTCCTGAGAGTACTGTAACAAAAATAACCTTCCTATCAAATAATGGGTAAATTAAAAAACTTTTTTTTTTTTTTACAGAGATCTTTCATATTGCACTGTTCTGTGACTTAAAAAAAAGCCAAACAAGGTCATGCTGAGGTCAAACTTAAAATACTCCTGTATATTCTCTGAAATAGCCATGTTGTTACTGAGGATTTAGTATAGCATTTTCAAACACAAAAATCTGCACAGATAATTCTGACCTCATGAAATGCTCACAAGTTAACAGCTGAGTACATTTTGCAGAATAAACCCCATATCCTTAAGATACTCTCTAGTCACCAAATATATTCATTAACATGACATGCAAATGTCTGAAAGTTAGATGAGCCATTATTAGTGCTCTGAAATACATAAGCAATATATGAATTAATTGTTTAATCGTATTGAGTTGCCTGTGGCACTAAGAAAAAGAAAAGCTAAATGTCAGAGTTTCAAACTGTCAGTTGAAATGGGTCCCAGATGTTAAAACATTAAGCAACCTAAAAATCAATTAACTTTGTTTTAAACAAAATCTTTTCCAAGGCAAGCTTTAATCCAGTGACTCAATCTTCCCCTTCCCCTCCCTGGCATAAATGAACATGGAAATTGCCTGTATTTAACATGGGCAGTGACTGAACTAGGCAAAGAGTACATAGAGCTGATGTAACGTAAAGATTTACATGTCTTCTGCCATTAGAACTCACTGTTTTTGATGAAGATTTTAGAGGTTATAAAGACAATACCAAAGAATATCTATCAAGTAAAAACGTTATGTTTTGTTTTTCTCTAAGAAAACAAGTGCTGTCGGTCATTGTGCAGAATACCAAAATGTAAGAAAGCTTAGGTTGTTATTATTCTGCATAAAACCAATGGAAAATAGTTATTTTATATGAGAACTGAAGCTAAAAAAGCCTGCCTACTTTTTAAAAAAATAAGGGGTAGTGTCAAATCCAAACAGGACTGTTTTTAGAAATATTATGAAACTTCATTTAAGAATGAGCAAATTCACATTATAAACATCTGCCATTGTTTTCAGTACAACACTGATTACAACAGTTCCCTATATTTTCCTTGAACAAATTCTACACAATATACAAAGGCTTAGCCCCAGGAAATGTCAAGAAGTATCAGAGGAGAGATTAACTGCTAAGGGACATTCACAGGAGTGTTATACATTTAAAAAGGGAAGAGATTACATACCCCTCTCCACCAATTCTTGTTATCTTTAGACGAAAATCAACAGAGTTCAGGCTGGGTGGCTTCCATTTCAAAATATCATCACATCGACCAGGCTTGTATTTCTGAAGCAAATTAAAAAGCAGTTTAATTATGCTTATTGGTTTTCACCAGTTTTAAAAGTAACAATTCAGCATTTCAGACTGTATTAGCTGTCTCTAATGAATTACAATACTTAGTGACTGAAACAACGAATTCCATTACCGTGGAGGTAGTTGTGCTTCACTACTTTATTTGCTGCTCCCTTTTAAAACTGCTTAGGCACTGTAGCCAAGCCACTGCATATAATGAAAAGCTGAGAATGGAAATAAAAATTAGCATACTTCATTATCTCTCTCTGGCTAATGGAAAATTTCAAGAAAGGAGATAAGACAGCACAGAAACAAATGAAAACACTGATAGGACATACAGAAAAGATACTTTTAAAATCATATCAACATTTTTGAACAATTTTATGCACGATATTCGTTATCCATGCTGTTGGCTGACACAACATGAAAAAGCCAGAAGTCACACACCACCAACTATCCGAAAGGCCCATCAGAAACATGTTCTTTCATACCAAAGTAATTTATGCCATGTAAAGATTAAAGACCTTCATAACATACAGGAACATAAATAAGGGAACATCTGTTGCTTAAGAGAAAGGGTACAGACTTGAACCAGAAGTTTTAAGGAGCAATTTTCTCTTAAATTAGAGCTTTGGTTTCTCACGGTCTCTTTTATCATTTGTTTTGGTTTACTAAGCTGTCATTTTGTTCATCCTCAGCTAATACTGAAGGCCAACCTGCTAACCCTTTCCTTACTAGAGTATCTTTCATGGCAATGGAGAAAATCAGAATTAACACAAATAGGGCAAAAGCAAAGGAGTAATTGAGAGACGCACTGAATGAGAATTTTTAGTTGTTAGATTGTTGATCCACAATAAAAAAATTTATGCAATTTTACCTAAAAAAACAACCCTCAAGAATGTCCAGTGTCTTTTGGTACCACAGCAATCACTAGCATCACATTGCACCTATGCTGCGTTAAATATTTGCAAAATACAAAATTTACTGATGACAAACCTAATGGCTCTTAAATGACACAAGCAGATGACGAATTTTCTGGTTTTTGATGTAAGAATGGAAAGTTGTTATTTCCAAAATAAATGCAGTGTATCTTGCTTATCATTCATTGATGAAAAGATGGTGTGTGACTTTTGCTGGATGGTAAAGGTAAGCATCACATAACTGAAATCCAAATCAGCTCCAAACACTTCTAGCCATAGTTCTGATACACATGACAAAAACAACCTGCTACAAGCTTCTGGAATTTTAACATGGCTGCCTAGAGTGCATTATGTCTTATTTTTTTTGATCATGGCCCTTATACCATTTGAGAGTGATGGCTTAGAATCACAGAATCAATCAGGTTGGGAAAGACCTCTAAGGTCATCAAGTCCAACTGTCAACTCACCACCACCACCACACCTACTAATGCTTCAGGTGTTCTGTTCTGGTTCCTGTTCAGGTCATTATAAACCTGTTCCAAACATCATTATTGGAGTCACCTGCCCACCTTACTATTCTGCACTGAATTTCTCCACAATCTTCTCTTAAACATCTGAATAAAAATTGAATTATTTACCCTCGTCCCTGGGACAACATACAGGAGCTGCTTCTGACACCTCTTATGTACGCCTCCTCCCCTTCCACATCTTCTATTTTATTCCTTCCCAGCTATCTTCTAGTTGAAAATTGTCCCTTTGGAAACCAACTTCCTTCAATGGTCCCTCACATCTGCAATTCTTGCCAAATCAAATCAAACATCTCCTTTCACTCAGATCAAGAAACTAGTAAGATACAGCTATAGTAAAGTTATGAAAGTACATTTCTTTCTTTCTTCTCTTCCCATCCTATTTCTCCTTTGTATGATTTCTGTGCTGTAACATCGTCAGATATTTCAAGAAAGTTGGTTGCCTGTACACCTTTCCAAAATGGAATTTAGGAAAGTATTGTTTAAGCAATTTACAAAAAAAAACAGAAAAATCTTTCAGCAGCAAAGAAATATTCCTTTTGTTGCCACCATCCTGCTGTTCGCTCCCTCATTTCTCTGGCTCTTTTCCATTCACCAGAAATACCTTAAAATTCCAATGATCTCATCTTCAAATTCTTACAGTAATGACATTTATTTTACTCCTTAGCTCTTTCCTCTCCTTTCCCAAACTAAAAACCTGCTATCATGCAGTACAGTGTTAAAAGCATTTAAGGACTCATGCCATACATGCTAAGCAATATTAAACAGATAAAACAGAAAATACAAAATATGACGCTCAATAAAGCATTTAAGCTTTTCAGATCTTTTAAGCTTTTATACATAATTTTTTATACCTAGATAATGCATTTAAATATATCTTTAAGTATTTACATTTGTTTTCACAGAAAGTATTTATTATTTTGGTATATATTCAATTGGTTGTGTACATCGAACATGAGAATTATAATAAACGTAGATGAAACTGAAATTTCTTTTTCAGTTCACTTTTCCTGCCATTTTCTTGTACTTACACCTGATATAGAGAGAATATGAAATAAAATTCTATATAACTTTTATTAATATGTCCCAGGAACAATAGGACAAAATACAGTGTTCACAAAGCCACTGCTTGTTGCTTGCTGTCATCTGTAGTTTCTAATTTGGCCAAAGACACTTACTACTAGTAAGTATTTACTACTTAGTTCAAATAAAAACTATGGGGAACACTTCTGTTTGTGATAAATTTCTCCACAGGCCACGAAAATTAATTTATGAAACAACTGCTACAGCAAGTACAAAGGAACACAGGGTACAGCTCAGTAGCTGAAATTGCTGGAGCAGGTGTGGATTGTGCTGCATGGAACAGAAGATTCATCTTAATGGTTGCTCTTCTGTCTTTTAGCACAACTAAGGGCTTCAACCATTCCATAAATGTGACATTTGTCAATCATACTTACCCTAATATCTTGTATTAAGCCCCTGTGTGGCACGGCTTCTAATTTATTGACTTGCAATAATCTTCCAAGCAAGACTACTGAAGTATTTACAATGACGGATTTATTAGTGTATACTCAAGGAATCAATTTATTTTTAAGCTGTATATTTTTGAGACCTTATGAGCTATGAAGACTAGAGCCAGTCTAATTGACTTCAGGAAACAATCTCAGCTGGTTTAATATATGGCTCAAAACTATCCTTTTACATATCATTCCTTTAAACAGAAGATAAAGAGAGGCTAATAGTCTTCAAGACAGAGGAAGTTTTCTCTTTTGTATAGAAATAACAGTCTCAATCAAAAAACACCCCATATTTTGTGTCTAAAAGGTTTATTTTGAACCAGCTTTTGTTGTTTTCAAAGCCTTGCACTGCCTAGGGCTCATACCAAGAGAGATGCTGAACAATCAAGCCCCATTGCTTCTATGCTACTCATAGCTTCATCTGCTTCTGTATGCATGGAAACACACTCAACTCGGAGGCTACCATTTTACATGTGCAGTTATAAATTTTTTATCCACGTACATTACTCTGCATAGAAGTTTCTGTGCTGTTTTATCACTCAGCCACTTTACTATAATCATTCACATTTAGCACCAGCCCCTGCTGACCCAGCAAGAAAACGTCACTTTATGGTTCATCCCGTTTTCCAACTTGCTTATGCGCAGTACAGGCGAGTCACCTCCCTGGTGACAACTGAACAGTATCCCATCCCTTGACCCCTACTTCTTAGGAATTCCTTATCTGTGCAAGAATCTTTTCTTTTAAGTTCCCTATCTGCTTTAGTTTCTTCAAGAGTTTTTTGTTAGAAACTTTGACAGAGGCTTTCTGGAGGTCTTCACAAGGAATACCATACGATCCTACTCCAATGATTTTTGATCTCTTGGTTGGAGAGGCATAACCTTCCTTTCAAAAAAGGCATGTAATTTTCCCCAACTATATCATGTTTACCCAGGTATAAATTACCCTTTATTGTGGTTTCTACTCCTTTGTCCAGTACAGACATCAAGCTTACAGGCCTTACTTCTTCCCTGATCTTCCATGACACCTGCCCGCACTCTCAATTTATTTAATTGGCATTGCATTTTCTACCCTCACATGCTTAGGCACCAATGTATATACTCCATGTAGAATCTACTATAGGATTTTATCAAACTCTTTTTCCAGGACTGATAAGTCATACCCTCCTGAAAGTCAGTAAGAAAACAACTTCACAACAGACAGGAACAACTATTCCAAGATCAGCAATGAAAAGCAATGTTTTGACAGGATATATCTGCATATCTGTAATTGCACTGCTGGATCCACAATTTTGACTCAAGTTTAATTATAAGATTAATTGGCTGGCTTCCTTGAAGGGAAGTGGGGGAGGATTTGTTCTTTAAGATAAAGTTATCTTTCTTGCCTTTACCTCTAGAATCAGCACAGTGTGAAAAGCCTCAGCTAAACTTTTTGTCCTATTAATAAAACAACGGAGGAAAAACTATCTCTGACACACTTCAAGCTAGCCAAAGAGATCTTGCCTAGAAAGCAATGGCAATAAAAACACACTTTTAACTATTACACTCAGTTCTGACCATTGTCATATAACACCATTCTCACTTCAGAGAAGATTTGTTAACTCTGAGCACTTGGTAAAGGCAACAGGTAATTTACTTGCATCTTTCCAAAATAGCTACAAAGGCTTAGATAAGCAATTGAACTTCAAAGCTCATATCAAGAACAAGTTACACAGCCCCCTCAGACTTCTCCTGTTACCACAAAAGCCAGAAATTCAGAGAAATTTTGCTTAAAATGAGAATTCAACCAAGGGCCACGTTAATAATCCCTGAGAAAGAGATTCATTTTTGTAACAGGTGGGACTATACACACAATGCAGCAGTAGTAAGTTCTTGAGTTTGAATGCTAAGTGCTAAATCAATTTCATTAAACATGAGCTGGAGCCAAACAAGAATTCTGCTTGTTAAGTATGTGAAAACTTCACCTTAGATGAATCATTGCATACTGCAGACCTGTTCTGCCTGAAGTTATTCTATATTCTAATTCCAAAACA